AATATGTTTGCGCCGCGCTATTCATTCAGCTAGATAATCAGCGTTAAAATTTTGCTGATTAGGAAGTAGATTTCTTTAATAGCGCTGATTATGTAAAGTTCTCTTACAATGCAATCTGCTGTAGATCATAGTAAGGAGGGAGGAACCAAACCACCTACAGCTTTTTACACTCTCCTTCAGATTTCAGTCATGTCTAGTATTATCATAGTGTGAATTTGCATACTTTTTATTGCAATGTAGATCGCTTTGGATGAAAGATTTTGTTGTATTCTTAATGACTGCAAACTACACGCTGTACTTAGTAAAGGCATTTGAAAATAAAGGTAGCTGTGTCAACATTTTTGCGTTTTGTGAGCCAATGTCCATGCTATGTTGTGGACTATGGCATCGCTGAGTAAATATTCATTATTTTCAAGGAAGAAAACGTACTTTTTAGCTGTCAGAAAGAAGGTTTAGTGTATTCTAGATAATTTGAATAGCATTAATAGCCTTTTTGTGAACATAGAGAGCCTAAATCGAAGTATCCTTAGCAAGTCAATATTTCGGTCATAAATTGTCAAAACCCAATTTCAGCTTCTTTTTTCTTGTTTGGAATTTCTTTTGTCTTTGTCGGTTTTAACTCTACAAACTTACATCTAATTTTCTTTTCATTTAAACTGTAATATAAAGCGCTTACCTGACGTATTTTCAGCAAAATCCAATTATCTGTAGCAAAGGATATCAGCAGAATCACAGTTGCATTTAGTAGCAATACAGTCCTCACTTCCATATCACATCATTCTCAGAAAAAACCTTTTTCTTCGAAATCTTTCTCGAATCGATAACACCAGCAAAGAAGTCGGATAATTAGGTTGTTGGTGGGCTGATGCAGCGACTTTTTGGTGAACGAGTGCCTCAAATTGAGGGAGTCGCTTCATCGCAGAGTCCGCCTACTTCCGCTGAGATTCTACCATGGATACGGAAGAACGAAATTGGCGAAGATAGTGTGATAGAAACCCCTTTTGGAAGGAGGCAGGGTGAGACAGATAATTGCCACAACGAAATTGTCATGGCTACCAAAAATTGTATATTTAGCGATTTATTGCGACTACACAGCTTCAGCGCGTGCCATTCGTCCAATTGAAGACTATATAGTGGAGAATGTGCTACCATTATATGGGAACACTCATAGTTCAGTGACGGTGACATCAGAGCAGACTACCCTATTCGTCCATGAAGCTAGGTAAAGGGCTTTGGTTTGGAATGTTCAAGTTTTACTTGATTGCAACGCAAATGTTAGAGAATGGTATAAGTGATTTATAGACAAGAAATACGCTCAATGACTGGAGCTGGTGATGGAGATAGCGTGATTTTTG